GGAAAAATCTATAGAACTTTATAGTTTGCAGCTTTTTTATTTAATAGATTTAAATTTAACTGTACTATCATACCATTTCCTATAAAGATGTTAAGTGACCAAACACTTATTTTAATGAATAAAACTGTTTTGTTTAAATGCACCAAAATATATCGTCCATCTTCACTGGGAAATTGACTTAAGTATTTTAAAAGAGGGTGTGCTTAATTATGCTGAACACTCCTTATTCCCTTTTTCTTTCTCTGTTTGTAGCCAATGGCTTTAATAAATCACAAATGACCACAGATCTGGCCAAATTTTTTTATTAACTGCTGAAGGAAAATCTTGGATGACCTTAGGGAGAGTAAATTAATCTAGATTAATCTAATAACATTAATCAATAAATGAAGCAGAGTAATTACTCTAATGTAATCATTTAATGTTAACTGAAACCTTTCTGTAATGTGCTAAATGTTGAAATGTAAAACAGTGTAGACTGGTAGAAGTATGTTAGTATGTTGCTATTGACATGTTAAGTTGGATCATTAAAAAAGTCGACTAATCTTTTCAAACAGTGTTATGAATCACACGCCCTCTCTTAAAGTTCCCATCAAAGAATAAACCCACTAGATGTTAGATGTTTCAAGAGTTAACTATAATGCACTGTACAAAATTCTGGGTTTTTAAACAGATGGATGAATGAATGAATGAATGAATGAATGAATGAATGGAGAGGGTGTAAATGATGACAATTTATATTGTTTGGATGTACTATTCCTCTAAATTTGACATTAAATAAATGACTGATATTTCTTTTTTTTTTTCTATGTCGACTTTCTTCTATTTAAGGACATGCACATCTGTTGTTTCATTCATTATCGATACATAGTTTCACAGTTTTTACTACAACTTGCTATGAGAAGAATTTCTGCTTTTCTGCCACCTGCTGGACGATACTGTAAATAACAGAGGTTTAAAACAGAGGAGATTTGCACCAGCAGAGGGCACAACCACAGAGAGTCAGGAGCTCAGCTCAGCAGACACACACGTGCTGCAGTTTATTCAGAGCCCACCACTGTTTTACCAAAAAAAGAATAAATTTTTTTTATATTTATATATATATATATATATATATATATATATATATATATATATATATATATATATATATATATATATGTATATATGTATATATGTATATATGTATATATATATATATATATATATATATATATATATATATATATATATATATATATATATACACACACACACATACTACTAAACTGACTAAAACACATGAAATAAAATTAAAATAGAACTTCAACTTTCATTTAAGGTTTTCAATGCCAAAAAAACTTTGTTAAACGAAGCATGTCTACTAAAAGAACAAAAAAAATATATATTACATTTAGAAAGTGGACTGTACATAAATCATAAAAACATTTGCATAATCTTGAGTAATGTTTCTAAAATGAAAATAAAAACTGAATAAATATATATTTACACACCTAAATAATAGATTGTGGATTGTGGAATAGACTGTGGATTTCTGTAAGCCAGATTCCTTGTGGGCCTAAACATAGCCTAATAATTTCACAATCTAAAAATAAATTAAAACCTAAACTCAATATAGATCCACACAGGGTGTTTCCCAGGAATAGGCAGAACATATTCTGGAAAAGTTGGCGGTTCATTCCACTGTGGCGACCCCAGATTAATAAAGGAACTGAGGCGAAAAGAAAATGAATGAATGAATACATCCATACATACTTGAGAAGCAAAATGAAGTCTAATGAAAACTAAATATGTTTTCAAAATAATCTAATACCTTTCAAATAATCTTTCAAATAAACTGCAAACAAAAACTGAAAGAAAAGCCGTCACATGTTGACAGTTAAACGTTACATTTGCTTCTGAGGTAAATATACGAATTCTCAAGTAAAAAATCTGTTTAAATTGCAAACGTTGTATGTTCTCTATGACAGAAATTAATTAAAAGAGAAGAAATTTATTTGTATACTTTGAATTAGCACTTTACTGTACATACATAATGCAGTTTTTTTTATATATATATTTGTATCAATTTAGGTACTTTAAAGAAGCCATCCCTAAAGGGTCATGAAGCCCTTTAAGGGACTGTTTCATATGTGTTTATTAATTATTCTTACTGTTCAATGAACGCAAACTGTCGTAGATTATTAAAGACGCAAACCCCTTATTGTATGACAGCTGCACCTTAAGCAAACCTCATAATACCTGCAGGACGAGGACTTTATGGTTGTTTATGAGCGTCAAAAGTGGCGGATCTGTTCAGCAGAATATTTTACTGTGTGTCATTGCATATCAAACCACTAAAACAATATAACGATATAAAGAAATCTCCACTGTGCTGAGCGAGAGCGCTTCTTACTGAACAGCGCATCATCGATGACGCAAGCGTGCTCAGGCCCGAATATAATGTGAGTGCGGGCTGTCAGGGGAGCTGGGAGGGGGGGGGGTCAAGCGTGCTTCAGCCCAATTCAAGGCAACTGTACATAGCATACACCCTAGTTGTCTGCAAGCATCAGTGTTTATTGAGATTAAAATGAGATTTAAAAAAACAAACAAATTGAAAATTATTATAAATGTTATTATAGCAATGTGACTGCTTTGGGAAATAACACTTGTCATAAACGTCACAGGATGACTGATCATGAAGGAACGTGTAGTCTGGCACATTTGCTTCCCACGACAAGTCACGATTTTATCAAGAAAAATCGCATAATCTGACATAGTGACTTTCGTAACCGACAATAAAAATCGTGTAATCTGACCGGGGCTTAAGAGAATTTTGAGAATTTTTTCAAAAACATTCTTCACGATGGCCGTGGAGCGCTGTGAGGAGTGGGAGTGGCCGGCAGAGCAGGGGGAAAAGAGAGGCGAACAACTGACAGTTGGTTCACAAAATCAGACTAAAAGACACTAAATGTGAGGGAAAATGATTTCATAGTTTACCAAGTTAAAATGCAAAAAGATAAACAGTAAGTAATTTAATGTCCTGCTACATATACAATAGGTTATTCATAATTTCATATACACATAACCACATTTTGTTATATCATTATAAAGATAATCATGTTTATATAAATACTATAAATGAGGAGGACTTCTCTCCTTCTCAATCCCGGGTCTGAATGCAGACACAGTGGATAGCAGTGAAGCAGGTCTCTTGCTCTGTTCCAACCATTATCAGGATTTTAAACATGGGCGAACACAGCAGCATGAATATAGATGATTTGTCTGAATGGTAACAAACTCAACTGACAGAAGACAAAGTCCGCTATTCTCCAATTCTCCTACAGCTCTCCCAACAAAAATGCTTGTTTGCAAAAATAGGAGGAGGAACCCATTGAAATGGAGTGCGTTGATGTGGTGCTGCTAGGGGGCAAGCACCATAGATATATACATTTATATTGCAAAAATGCACACAAACAGTTTTGCTGTATCGGCCCTGACAGTATTGCAGAGAAAACACGTAACAAACCTCGTGGATCATGAAAACAAACACATGATATGACCCTTCATGAACAGCTAAATACTGCGTGTAATGCACAAAAAGCTCACAGGTCTGTCTTCGAAAAGCACGTGCCGTCATGAATAATTAAGAAGCAGGCTCTTCTCATAGGATAAGAAAACTCCGCTGTGAATAATGATGAGAAGTCGACATCACTCAACTAGGAGATGAGCACTAAAGTCATCGATTTAGATCCTGTCCCAATGATTTTAAACCCAGAAGATTAAATTAGCAGACAAACTTTTCCAGTTTTATCCACAATTATAGCCGGCAGGTGCTAATGTTGTCTTTATTGATGCTCAACACACACAAGGCTGTTAAAATCTCAAAAAAAGTACTTGAGGGTTTAATGAACCTGTAAACGGATAGTTCACCCAAACATGACACTTTGCTCACTATTCACTCACCTTTCAAGCCTTGATTAGTTTCTTTCCTCTGTTAAACAGTAAAGAAGATATTTTGAAGAAATTTAGTGTTCAACAGAGTAAAGAAAAGTATATAGTTTGGAACCACCTGATGGTGAGTACATTTTCATTTTTGGGTGAATTATCCCTTTAAGTCTCTCTTATGCCTAGTTCAGACTGCTTGATTTTAGCCCTGATTTTGGCTCGCCGACAGGTTTTGAGAAATCGCTGACAAATGCCTGAAATCACAGGCAAATCGGTGCTCGTGCACGTGAGTGACAATCACACAGTATGAACTTTCAAAGACGTGATCTGAGAGAATCGCCGATGCCTGCGAGACATTTGGCGTGCTAAATATCTGGAGCTGTCGGCGATTCAAATCATGCCGTGTGAATTGAGTTTTGACTGAAAATAACATCAGTGATCGCCTACAGCCAATGAGAGAGCAGCATTCACTTGTGTGTGCATGTGTGTATACCTGCTGCAAGCCAGCGGGAACCGGGGGGAGAAGTTAAAAGTTCTTTTTTTCGGTTTATTTGGACCCACGAAATGGAGGAAAAACTAGTGGAGATTAGACAGGACTCAGGAGCAACTGTGTCTGTTTGACGTGTCATACAGAAAGAAATTAGTTTATTATCAACGTTGAGGAGAAATGGCTAATTCCCTTTAAACCCAGGTGAGCAAACATGTACATGTTCTACCCCATTAAAGGCTTCTTTCTCATTATGTAGTAAATAACAAAATATATACTACGTGTTTTTGGCTGTGAGATGTAGTTTGGATGAAGTTGTCGGCGATTCTTCCTATAGTAAAGTCATGCAATGTGAAAGTCCCTGTCGCCGATCCATCTTACATTGTAAACAAAGCAGCGACGAAACGCTAGCTCAGATAGTCATGCAGTGTGAAAACATCTGTGACACGACTACATTGAAAATCATGCAGTCTGAACTCGGCATTAGGAGTTTACTGAGGCCACCTAGTGGTTTCTGGCATCATGGTTGAGACCCACTGAATCATGTCATTGTAAGAAAATGTCTGATTTTTACCTTCTCTCTTCACAGTTTCATTCAACACCAGTCTTCGGCCTCCTGAAACCGTCTCCTCCATCATCTTCTGGCTTGGCTACTTCAACAGCTGCCTGAATCCCATCATCTACCCCTGCTACAGCCGGGAGTTCAAGCTGGCTTTCATCCGCATCCTCAAATGCAGATGTCACCGCAGGAGACGGCCAGGTTGGAGAGCGTACAACTACCGGGGCTCGCAAATCAACTCCTTCTACTCACGGCAGGACTCGAGGGACTCTGTCAACTATGGCAGTTACCTAAACGGGAGCCAGAGAACCCTGTCCTCCTCCAGCCCCAGTCCTAGTTACCATACCAAAGGCCTGTCCCACTTCCAAGAGGACGGACCCAGACTCGGCCGGAGCAGGACACCTTCTGTTTTATCCGAGAGCATTTTGGATCATCATCTCGAGCCTGTGGAGGAAGATCCAAGACAGACTGTGAGCATTCAGGATCATGCTGGTGTCTCGGAACTGGCATCAAAGGCATCTGAATGAGCAAGATATCGAACTTGAAATCGCACAAGATGTTATTTCAATGAGTCGCCTCTTTATTTTCTGTGGCAATGGATAAATTGAAAGAACTCATATGTCTTACTAAACTCTTTGCGTGTTATAAACAACCTGTTGGTGATGTACAGCACAATGTGAATAGCATACTCTGGTACTATTCTATAACAAACAGCTTAAAGGCAACTTTTTCTGACTTATGTGTTATCATCATCACCGAAAAGTTATTAATTAAACTTAATGAAGTTTTCCATGTGTATTAAATATACACATCATTCATTCATTCATTTTCCTTTAGCTTGGTCCCTTCATTTATCAGGGGTCACCACACTGGAATAAACTGCCAACTTATCTAGCATATGTTTTACACAGTGAATGCCCTTCCAGCAGCAACCCAGTACTGGGAAACACCCATACACTCTCATTCAGACACACTCATACACTACAGCTAATTTAATTCAATTCACCTAGTGCATGTCTTTGGACTTTCGGGGAAACCGAAGCACCCGGAGGGAACCCACGCCAACACAAGGAGAACATTCACACAGACATGCCAACTGACTCAGCCAGGACTCAAACCAGTGACCTTCTTGTAGTGAGCTGGGAGTGCTAACCACTGAGCCACTGTGTCGCCCCCTTAATATTTATATTAGTCATTTTCATAAATATGACCGTTGTAAGCAGTTGTTCATTCATTCATTTTCTTTTCGGCTTTGTCCCTTTACATATCAGGGGTCGCCACAGCAGAATGAACCGCCAACTTTGCCAGCATATGTTTTACGCAGCAGATGACCGTCCAGCTGCAACCCATCACTGGGAAACACCCATACGCACTCATTCACACACATACATTATACGGACAATTTAGCTTACCCAATTCACCTGTACCACATGTCTTTGGACTGTGGGGGAAAGCAGAGCACCCGGAGGAAATCCACGCAAACTCCAAACAGAAACGTCAACTGACCCAGCCGGGGCTCAAACTAGCAACTTTCTTGCTGTGAGGCGATTGTGCTACCCACTGCGCCACCATGCTGCCCGTAAACAGTTATGTTCAATTTAAGTACTTTATTAAGATTTCTTGAATTCTTTCATTCATTTTCTTTTCGGCTTAGTCGCCAGAGCGGAATGAACCGCCGGATTTGTTGAAATCAATACAGGTAATGTTGAAATGTGATTACTGAAATTATTGATAAAATGTGCATTATTTGTCAGTGTTATTTTACAAGATTTAAATTTAAGATCTTTTTTTTCGTCCTGTTTTTGACAATTGACTACAATTGTTGAAATAAAGCCATAAACAAATTTTATTTCAATTTTAATTAAAGCAATTTTAAGGACCTGTTTATTTTCAAGTACTTTCCAGTCCTTGAATCCATATGTCTGAATTTGAAGTACTTTGAAGTAGGGGAGAGTGGGGACACTTTGCATTTCCTTCAGTTTCACAGAGACTGTTTTTTTTTTTTGTGGAAATCCAAAGTTTTAATATAATAAACCCACATCTATTGGACACCCACCCACATTGCTATAATATGTGTACATATGACATTATATGTCGAATTTAAACTTAAATAGACAAAGTCAAACTTTGCAACTGAACCCAGAGCAGTCGGACGGTTGCAACAACCCACAGGCACAGTTGCAACATTTATTAAAATGTATTAATAACAAACTCTAAAGCATCAGTTTAGATTTTATTTGGATTTTTGGGTAAACTGACTAAATGTACATTGGTTAAATTGTTTAATGTGTTAAATTGGCCACATAAACAGACTATTAAAAGAACAAGCAACATCCAATTATCAGGCCTAAAAACAAAAATACATGTTTTTACTGACAATCTAGACTGAACCTTTACTAAACTACTTCTTTAAACTTTGAAATGCAATAATTATTCAAATAATTCCTTTTCAAATTAAATTGCATTGAAACTGATCAAATTAAAATAGTACATTGTTAATACGGCAAGCTTTTAAATACATTTTGTAATTAGGGACACTTGCAACATGTCTCAACTCTGTCAACCATGATTAAACTGTGCTAGGGAGATACTCTAGCTTTAATGCTTGATAACTATACACATTTAAAGCTAAGAAAACAGTGATTTAAATTAAACAAATGAATAAAGTTTCACAAAAGCAGATTAGACAATATGATACATTTTCTGAACATTAAAAATTGTGTTTGTAGCTAAAAATGAGTTTTATTCTCAAGAAACGGTCACATATGGCTGATTTCTCTCAAGAGAATGAAGGGTCTAACTGAAAATATAGCATGAATATCACTCTAGCTCATTCCTGAATGGAAAAAGTATTGCTGCACTGTCTTTATGTCAAATACTTTTCATTTATTCAACATTATGAAATCGTACCAACAACAACAACCAAATATAACTGTATATTATACATTTAAAATAACAGGGATCTTTACATTATACGAAGTGCAATATTTTAACAAAAATGCGACTATTGCCGTTCAATGTAATGATGAATGTCGATTAGAAAAACGAATAACCTTATAATTATCAAAATAGACCTAAGCTTGTTAGTCAAACACACGTTTTGCACATATACTCTTAAATTAACATTAAAGTTGTGAATTTCATATCTTCTCTTACCCGTTTCAACCAGGTTTCAACCAATTGTTTCAACACTCAGCTGTTTGCTATTTCAGAGGTGACTTGTCTAACTGCCTCTGATTGGCTACTGCGTTGATTAGCTCAACAGAACGTGAATGATTGGTTATACGCTTATCCAGCTGCAGACCCGCAGACCCATTCACGTTTCAGTCAAACACACGATCTAGGCAGTCCTCTTCTAATTTCTCCTTTATTCACATAACCACACACACAAAGAAAACATAATAATGTAATGTTTAATGTAATATGTTTAACTAACAATTAATTACGTGGATATCGTTGTTGACAGTGGTCTTTTTAAAATTACTGTATAAATGTGTTGCCCTCACCCGGAGGAGGGCGGCGTTTGTTAGAATATTAGCATTAGAATATATTTAAATAATATTATAAAATAAATAGAGTGCTAAATCCTTGTGCAATATGCAGGATGTTTTTCTGAATGTTTCTGGTACTAGTTTTATTTTATAATTCCATACGGTTGAATTGTTTAATTAATTTTTATGGTCATTTATTTATTTATTTTTTTTATCGAGAAATTAAGCCTTGTGCAACATAAAGGGCAAATATTTATGCCTATATGTTAATAGTTTATTAATAGTTTAATCTGTTAATAGTTTTATCGCTGGGAAAACTATTAAACGACATAAACGGCTGTTTTTTTTAGAATTAGTACAAAAAGGTACGCTACAAGATTGATTACTCGTCTCCGCCGTTGCATTTTACTTCAACCGGAACAAAGTTTTCCCAACTTCTTCTCCCGATCGCCATTTTGTGAAATAGGCCTGTAGAGCATCTTGTCATACTTGGTTTTGAGGTAAATTAAAAAAAGCAAACAATAATGTGTCACATTAAAAAAAAATTACTATAGTTAATAATTTAAAATTAATATAGTTATAAACTGATAAACTAGTGTATATATATTTTTTTTCCATAATAATTTGTTTATATTACTATATATGTTGCAACTATAATTACCACACATTATCAGTACTTTATGGTTTAAAAATACCCTACAACAATATAAAAACAATATATTACAAACTTAATATTTCCGAAATTATGTTTAACAGGGTAAATAAACTTTCACAATATGTCTGATAATAGTTTTTCTTGTGGAGAAAGTCTTATTTGCTTTATTTCGGCAAGAATAAAAGCAGTTATAAAATTTTTAAACACCATTTTAAGGACAAAATTATTAGCACCTTTAAGCAATTTTTTTTTTGATAGTCTACAGAACCATCATTATACAATAACTTGCCTTATTACCCTAACCTGCCTAGTTGACCTAAGTAACCTAGTTAAGCCTTTAAATATCACTTTAAGCTGTATAGAAGGGTCTTGAAAAATATATAGTAAAATATTATTAACATCATGGCAAAGAAGATAAAAAAAATTATTAGAAATTAGTTATTAAAACTATCATGTTTAGAAATTGTTGAAAAAACTTCTCCGTTAAACAGAAATTGAGGAAAAAAATAAACAAGAGGCGAATAATTCTGACATCAACTGTAAATATATCTTTATATTACTATAGTATTTAAAATGTGCAGCACAGGATTTTTGAATTTATTTGTGTTTGCTGTCTAATACAAGCTATTTCTGTTTAGTAGAGCATATTAATTGCAGTAAATAACTGAACTTAATTATGCAGTTTTATTGATCACTTAATCAGAATTGGATTGAAGTTGCTTCAATGTAAAAATAAAAAATAGCTTAGATGTAGCTAAGCTACTTTTGCCATCTAATTTAGCTTACTACATTTCCCAGGCGGTAGCTTTTAGTGTAGTTAAGCTACATTTTACATAGAGTAACTAATAGTTTAGCTCACTACATTTCCCAAGCTTGTCCAACACTGCAACAGAGAAGTCTTTTGCATCTCAACTAATGTATCTCGTTTGAAGGATGTTTAAATATTTGTATTAAATAAAGAAAACACTGAGGAAGATATTCACTTTTTGGAGTGTAAATATCCTAATGGAACAAGAAAATGTTTTCCACATCTCAAGAATCTCAGAGAGGATTATTTATTTATCATAAACATAAGCATTTCAGAGGCTCTTACTAGTTATAGACAATGCACTGTACAATTTATTTACAGTCAGTTTTTTTCCGTACATTTTCATAAGCACCCATGTTCAAGAAAGGAGTTATGTTTCGTATTACAAAGAAATCCAGCTACTTTGCGTAAAAAGGAGATCCGTTGTCTCAATACTGCCTTAAACACTCGACATGAGGAATGTGGAACAAGACTGCAAAAATACACATTTATACAACAGTCTTTGCAACAGAGCCAACCTTTGACATTCTCAAGCTGCAATACGAGATAGTGTGATTAGAAATAGCATGATCAGGTTACTGTCGAAATCACTTAAACACTAAATCCAAAGCAGAAATTAGTGCACCGAGTAAAAAAATAAATAAATTACACTTAAGATTTAATAACTGCAACACAACATAAAAAAGTCAAACGGAATATGAAAGAAAAACATTCATAAATTGAATCGAACGCACTCCCCCAATCCCCACTAGCAAAAAAGATTCGTTAATAGTACGTTGACAATTAAAAAAAGAACGTGGCTTTGTTTTTTATACACTGTACAGTTTTGTAAATACGATATTCCTCTGAATAATCTTCAAATCTCAAGGCCTTTAATTTCCTAGTGTTTCCCTCACAGAATCCTGTGGAAAGGTCAGATCCTGCTTGTCTGTTTATATGTCACTGTTGATGAAGATCTGGATTTGATATAGATTCAGACTGTTGATGCAGCATCTGAAATTAAATCACGGCATGAGTAATCGATGTAAAGATATGAAAATGTTAAAGGAATGATAAAAATACCTACTGTTTAAAAGGCTCCTTAAACAACAAACTTGTTCTTGGTGGTGGAACCGCTTTTGGTGGCCGTGTCCGCATGTGACTGGTATCCAATGATGACCTTTGGTGGCACACCTAATCTTTCTTTGTACACACGCCTGTTAAGGAGGAAAAGACAAAATGTAGACACTTAGGCTACATTCACACTGCGAGGTTTAGTGCTCAAATCGGATTTTTTTTTTTTTGTGTATGGCTGTTGACGATGCTCTTATAAATGTGGCCAATTTCAGATTTGCAGGGTGAACAGATCCTAAAGTGACCCGCTTGCGCAAAAGTACATTACAGACAGCACAAAATGTCTAATTATGCACTTGTGATACTGTATGAAGTAAGCACGTTGTCAGACCATGCTTATATGATTATTGCCCTTTTCACAGACAACCATGGTGTGTTTCATGAACCGTAAATGATTGTTCTGCTAATACTAATGTGTATTTCGCCATTTGAAATCTAAAACAAGTCACTTGTGATTGAAATCACTGATCGTTTGTGATTTATGACAACAGTGGTGCACGTTTGTATGACCACCGGTGCAGTGAACTCATCAAGGGTTAATGAACAGAGTCAGACTAAACTGTAAAGGCGGAGTTGTTTTATCTCCATTTGCAGAGTTTTTTAATTTTACTTCATTATAAACAGTAGACACGTGCAGAAGGAGTAGAGGATGTTTGCAGCACAGAATAATGACGCATGTTGCTCAAAGATTATGTAAAAGTCACAAGAAATCCGACATAACCGTTCACACTGCGGTCGCATTGCAAAACATCAGATCTGAGTCTAATTTAAGATTACATATGAAAGTGGCACAGATCTGACCTGAAAAGATCAGATTCCATGCGTTTGGGTTGTTCACACTGTCATTACCTGAGTAACATGAGGGGGAAAAAATCTAATTCGGGCCACATTTGGCTCAGTGTGAACGTAGCCTTATAGACCAAGTCAAGGCATAATCTGCATGACTAATAACCAAAAATAGTTGACAAGTAGTAGCTTTTTTTTTTCCCAGAGATGGGTTTCGACTGGAAGGGCATGCGCTGCGTAAAAGCTTGCTGGATAAGTAGGCGGTTCATTCCGCTGTGGCGACCCGAATTAATAAAGGGACTAAGCCAAAAAGAAAATGAACCTGAAAAAATATGCAGATAAGTCACAAAATCTGTCGCAATTCAGTTTGCAAAAAATTCAAACTGCATTTCGTTTCCTCTCACTCCACAAATCCTTACAATTTAACCTTTTTAAATCAGCAACAATCTAAATGTTTGGATTGGTGGCTTGATGTTATTCATTTATTCCCACATCAGCAACGTATGGTTAATTCATGGCAAAATGGATATACATAGAAAAATATTACATGATAAAAACTAATTCATATTACAACAAAAGTGACTCAGACAAATATTTAGAATATAAATAAATAAAATTCACACAAAAATATATTCAAAGTTAAATATGATTTTTCAGTTCAATTTTTGATAAATAATTTAACACTCTGCTTGGTGTTACCTTTTTGGAAAATATCTATCACAGTACTCTCCTTATAAAAATGTTGTCTAATGGTATTTAAACTTTCACATTCCAACAAAATATGTTTCATGGTAAGAGTAAATACAAATGAGTCAACTTAGAATGTCCAATTTGACATGTAGTATTGACAGTTTGTTCATGCCTGGTCTAACAAATTAGAATTTGCAAAGTGTTTTTCATTTATTTTCATGTAAGGTGTCTTGATGTTAAATGCATTATTTAGAATATCTATAATATTTCATATGATTGGAAAAATTTCACAACAGTATGTACAAATAATAACATTTAATTTTAACAGTAAAAAAATCATATCAGTTTTATGTATAGAATAAAAGTGTAATGTTTACCCTATGTGTACGATGGCATCTTTGTTCTCGTAGTCTGTCGTCCATATTGCGATTTTGTCTCCCTTTGTTCGGATGTTAACGACAGCACCACAGACATCATCACTGTGGTCATCAAACGCTTCTCCAACAAGGCACAAAAGCTATAATAATAAATGAGAGAGAACATTCTTTAGTCTATATATAAACACACACGTATATGTTCTAATATTACATTTGAATATTTGAGCTCATAAAAAGGAAATTAGGTATACTGAGAATAACGTTGTTTTAATCAAGTGATTAGTGATTGTTAAGCTATTTTAGTCAATATTTAAAGTGGATCAAATATTTTACATTGAAATAGAATATCAATATTTAGTAATAAAACAATAAAATTTTATTTTATTAAAAAAATCTAATTTATTATTATTTAATAATTATAAGCGATGTAGGAACATTTATTGTGATTAATCGCATCAAAAATGCACGTTTGTTTTAACATGTCATATGTGTGAATTTTATATATTTATTATGTATATTTGATAGAAACAAAGCTCTACAAAACATTTTTATTACATGGATATTTAAATTTATATACAATTAGTATCGTATACACATTTTATATGGAAATATAAATACACATTTTCTCAAATATATGCATGCCTGTGTGCATTTATATGTACATAATAAACGCACACAGTACACACCTAAATCAAAACAAACTTTTATTTTGGATGAGATTCATTTTTGCTCACCACTAATAATCCTAAACAACAGGATTTTGGATCAACTTCAAATGCTGACTACTGTATATATTCACAATTAGCCTATGCCTCATATCCTGTTTTTATTGGTTGAAAATATAAAATGTGTAATGTTCACTCATATTACAGTCAACGACATAACAAAATACGAAAGGATATTCAAAATTCATAACAAAACTTTTCCAGTAACTATTGGTGATTTTAGCACAGTGAATTCAGCAGCTAATATGGACTAGGGAGAATGTGGACTTACTGTTTCCAGCCAGAAGCGGTCCAGGTCAGCTCTGCGCTGCTGTTTGGAGAGGGTGATCAGCCAGCGGCCACCCCGCTTGTTTCGCTCATCTTCCCACATGGGCTCAATGCCATCCTGCCACAAAAAAACAAGAGCACAGACTCATTTTCATGGATTCAACATAACTATCATACAGTTATTCTGCTCTATCATGTCTTACCTTGAAAAGGGAGTAATCACATCCTGACATTAAGTTACTTGATAACTGAATGTGATTGTATAACCTGAAAATATAGCAACAATACCTGTTAATGGCACAGAGAACTACATATTATCTAAAAGCTGAATAAAAAACTTTCCATTGAATTACTGATTGTTAAGATTTGGTCGAGATACAACAATTTAAAAATCTGAAGTTTTAGGGTTAAAAAAAAAAATCTAAATAGAGAGAATCCACATTAAAGTTGCTCAAATTTGATTATCGAGACGGAAATGCATATTACTAAGCAAAAATTAAGTTTGAATAGATTTACAGACATACATTTACAAATCTTTATACAAAATTCTACAGATTTTTGCCATAAAAATGACTCGTAGTGTAATTTTTGGCTATTCCAAAAAACTATACCCTTGCAACAGAAGACTGATTTTGTTGTCCAGGGACTCACACAGACATAAATGTATTTTTATTATGATTTTTAAGTCACTGTTTTGTGCATTGGTTGTACTAAAATAGGATAACAGCTTTTAACAATGGGAAAAAAACAATATTGTTCCCATATTGTACATTATTGCAGGGTCATATTCTCAGGCATTCTCTGACTAAAATGTTTCTGTTTATAAAGCCTTTGCTTCCAGAGTTTTCTATTGGCCAGTCAGAAATACTTCACCATTATCACCAGGATTCATTTTAAATGTACAATTCACCCCAAAACAGAAAATGCCTTTATGATTAATTCACCCTTTACTTGGCACAGTGTTGCTTGAATTTCTTTTGTCTCTTGAGCACAAAAGTAATTGAGAAATATCTTGGAAACCGACAACCTTTGACTTTCATGGCATTTGTTTATCCAAAATTGTTGTCATTCATGGTTACCGGTTTCTAATATTTTTTGCGTGCAAAAGGAAAAATAAACTCAGAGCCTCTTGAGGGGATGTAAATAGTGAGTAAATTAAATTTTTTGAGTAAACTATCCATTTATGGTAGATTGGGAGTCTAATGTCTGTTCAATACTTACAATATACAATATTTGTTGTGGTAGGCTATGAGCTTTAATAACATATACATTTAAAAACATATAACAGACTTAAAAAAGAAAACATAAAAAGCATCAGATGGTCTTTTTTTATCATATGTTTTAATATTATCAATCATGTTATTTGAGTTGCTTCAATTGTGTCAAGTTAATACTTACGCCCAGAAGTCCTCCACTGTGTCAAACTTTGAGATGAGACGGAGATTAGCTTGCCATGTTTTGCTTTTGTCATTTTTAAAGAACCAAAGAGCCCATCTGAGAAAAAAAAAAACATAAAAGGGGGGGGGGTTGGGCATGATAACTCCTCTAGATATTTTGCCATCGTATCACATTAAAATACATAAAACATGTGGCCTGGGTGGCTTTACCTGTTCTGCAGTGGATGTTTAATGTAATCTTCAAGACTCACGATCTCTTGCTCATTTTCCTCGTTTTTTTCTTCTGAATTTGATGGATTTGTTGAAGCTTCCTACAGAAACAGAAAACAACAACTGATTATTTTAACACAATATGGATCTAAAGCTCTGCATACTGAATGAGAGACATTTATGGGAAAATAATCAGTATTTTGCCATTTTAAAAACTATTGTAAAAAGCAATATTCTAAGTCCCCATAACATTTTTTTTTATTTTTTGAATTACTGAAAAACTGTTTCACATTTAGTATTTTTACCAATATTTTTTACTATTTTCATGTCTGCCATGAGTGGAAATAAATACTACAATGAAATGTGAATGGAAATAAATTAGAAGACTCAGTTAGCTAATTAATTAACATGTTTTTATTCATTACTTATATAGTCTATGCCAGTGGTTCTCAAACGTTTTTCATCAAGTACCACCTCAGAAAAAATTCTCCCTCCAAGTACCACCATTTGACCAGTATTGAAATACAGTAGCGTACTATGCCTAATTAAGCAGCTACAGTTCTGCACAGTTTAAAAACGTGGCAGATTAATTACTTTTATTAATGATATTTATTATTATCGGCAACTATAAACTTTTGAAATAGATTGAACATGAACACTGCTGTGCTTATGTGTAAAAAAACAAATAAATAAAATTTTAATGTTTAAATTAAAATGTAATTTTAAAAGCTAATTAAAAATGGTAGGCTACTGTTCTTAAAAAGAAAAGAAAAAACACCTGTACCTAAATGTAAAGTGTTCACCTGTAGTATAAAGGCCTGGAAATGCTGCTCGGACCTCATAAATATAGGCTATATGTCATCATATTCATATACGAGTCATTTTTAATAAATTTTTAAGTATCTGTTGCATATACATATGGCATATCGGATTACTCTGCGTACCACTAGAAGGCAGCCCACGTACCACAGTTTGAGAACCACTGGTCTATGCAGTTTTTTGTTTTAAAATGAGAAAACGCTATTAAGAGAGCAATGAGATTTTTTTTTTTTTTGTATTGTTAATGACTTTATAAACGGGTGACAAAAGCCCCCACGAGTGAGCAATGGCCCTAACAAAAAAAAAAAAAAAAAAAAAAGATGAAAAAAAAAAATACAAATAATGAAAATAATAAGAAAATTACTCTGGCTTTACACTTTCAAAAGCATTCTCTTTCAGATGAAACATGTTATAATGGTATATGCATAAATATTAGCATTTATTAACAAAATCTAGTCCTAAATATGTCGAAGAAATAAAAAAAGGGCTTAATTTTTTTCAAAAGCTTTTTGGCACTAATGTAAATAACATTAAACATAAATAACTAGCATTTTCATATTGAAGCACTAGCAAAGTTTTGTCCTAGTACTAAAAACTATCCAGGTCAAACTCCCTGGAATGTATTATCAGGCTTAAAGTGAGCACTATTACTTTTACTAATACTTTTCCATTAGCTCTGCCTAATACACTCTCCATTACCAGACAAGGCATTGGCCGGTATATGATTCTGACGGTATAATAACCTTGGATAAAAATAGCATGATTTCCAGGTATCACGGTATTTCGATTACTGCTTTATTTTTTTTTTCCTCTTTGAAAACAATATATTTTATTTTTTGAAAGATTTTTTAAAAATCTGGAGCAGTAAACATGTCAAGATATATAATGAAAATGAATCATAGACATGAATCTTTGGATATCTTTCCAGCTTGAGAAACTGTTGTCTTCAAAAACAAACAAAAAGTAAATAAAAAATCTTACACTACGGTATTACAGAAAATTTTGACAGTTTTAAAACCTTGACTTTTCTAAAGCGTGGTATATCTTGAAAATGGTGATCGTCCCATGCCTAGATCACACTGTATACGCTACAAAAATACTGAGGTAAAGTTGGATTTATATCCGCACATTAGTTCATTTAACAAACGTCTCTTTGTTTTTTACCACACTACTTTAAAAACTGGGTCTGAAATCCCACTTAAGTATGACTTCAAAACTAGCACCATTTAATTGACTGTAAGCGATGGTGTACTTTGACAGTCCTTGACTACTAATATAAAGTCCCCATTTAGAATTGGCAAATAATACTTTTCTGAAATTATATTAAGAATGTGCAAATATGCTAATATAAAAAACAATCTTACCTCAACTACAAAATACATATAAAATAATCTAATTAAATAAACAGACTTATGGCAGCATTTTTTTCCAAAAACTCTGAATAACCTCAAAACAGCATTTCAACAAAATCCTGAGGGTGAATAAAAAATGGGTATAAATACTTTAAAAAAATAACAAGTAAATTTCTTTATGGGTGCTACTAGATGAATAATTTAACCTCATATGTTTTGTTCAAAAGGTTATTTAGTTAAAAAGTTCTCAAAAGCTGCTTATATACCCTAATGAAAGAAAACTGATAGAGGTAAAGTTGGTTTAAATTCACACATTCAATTATTTAGCAGTGTCTATATTGGTTACCATATTACATTGAATATTCAATTGGAATAAGCATGCACGTATGACTTCTAAACAACATTAACACTATTTAATTCACTGTGAACAAAGTTGTACTTTGATAGTTTAACTGCTGGTATGATTTCCCTATTTAGAATTTGCAAATAATACTTTTCTGAAATTATATTAAGAAAGTCCAAATATGTAAATGAAAAAACAATTTTACCTTAATTACAAAAATATATCAAATAGTCTAATTAAATAAACAGACTTATGGCACCATTTTAGTTCCAGAAACTCTGAATAACTTCAAAACAATATTTCAACAAAATCCTGATGGTGAATAAAGAAATGGGTATAAATACTTAAAACAATAACAAGTAAATTTCTTTATGGTTGCTGGATGAATCATTTAACCTTATTCTTTTCAAAAAGTTATTTGGTTAAAAAAGTTCTTAAAAGCTGCTTATATAACGTTACCCTAATGAAAGAAAACTGCCCATATTTTAAACAGAGTTTCTCCAGAGGAAGAATGAACATTAAGTTTCAACCTTTTCATTGTTATTACACTAAAACATGAATATTTCTAAACACATAATATTAACTCACAAACTAAAGGTTATATTACGAAAATCTTTAAAAGTAACGTTATACAAAGTTAACCTTTAACAATATCGCAATATGCAACGTTACTTATATTAAGTTTCATTTACTGTCCATACAGAGGCTAAAAACAAACCGCATACTTTTCATTGACACATCAGCAAACTACGAGTCTAAATAACAGAGATGCTTCAACACCACGTTCAACTCTCTGAAAAAACAAGCAGCTCACAGCCCTCCATTTCAGAGAAAACATCAACTATTTCACACTTTTGAACAGTCTCCTTCAAACGCATGTGTGCGACAGTCGGGCATCGGCTCATTTGACTGTATGATGGGATATAAATCAGTCTCTACGTGAATATTTATTTAAATTAGTTTATACACAAGCCCTGGTCGACATAAAACTCGTATTACAGATTAAACCCCGCCGTTAAAGTGTGTGCAGTAGTGTTTGTGAGAGCAGTTACACTGACTCACCGGTTCAGCAGTCGCCATCTTCTACAAATGTGAAGGGTCTTTCCGTGTGTGAAAACAACATTTGATTGGCTAAACTCAGGCGAACTCGTGTGCGAGCAGCGCGCGCCCGGACAGCGACACCCAGAGGACGCCCGTCTGTTTATGACTGCCAAAAATGTCTATGGGAATTTAATAATAATGATAATAATAACAATAATTAAGAAACTTTATTTAAAAAAATATTATTTCGAGGTGCTTCACAGATATTTAACCAACACAATGATACCAAAACTCTTTTATAAACTACTCTTTTTTTATTATTATTCTTTTAAAACTACTTTTATTAAATTATCATCTTGCTTCGGACACAAAAATACATTTGTAATGAATTGTAGAACATTGAATTTACCTGAAACATTGCCCAAAAATTTAGAAGAATGTTATAAACGGAAAAAAAAATCATTTAAACACGTAATATGAGCTTTATTTAGATTTTGTAATTACAAAAAACTTTTATTATTTGTCTCATTCATTCATTTATTTCCTTTTCGGCTTTAGTCCCTAGATTAATCTGGGGTCGCCACAGTGGAATGAAATTCCAACTTATCAAGCATATGTTTTATGCAGCGGATGTCCTTTCAGCTGCAACCCATCTCTTGGAAACTTCCAATTCAATTTTCAAATTTCAAATTTTAGACATTTATTTATTTTGTGGCAGATTCATATTATTTTGGACTTTTAAAATACTAAAATAATTGAATGGGTAAATTATAGTTTTAAGAATCATCACTACAAATGATACATTTTGGTTATTATTTGTTTAGGCAACTTGGACAATTTGATGTTAAGAACCAAAACTTTCACAAACATTGACAATCTTACTAAAATCAATTCATTACAACCAAACAATCAAACGTGGTTATAAGTATTATTGACAAACTAGTTGAACTGACTTTTCTAATAAACATTTTACATAATAAAACAGACAATAAATATGATTTTAATGTTCAAACCTTCAAAATAATTATATCAAGCCATTTACACTGCAAAAGTGTATTGTGAAAAAAATAAACTAAAACCACAAAATAAATTTGTAACAATTGTAGAACATCAAATTGACCTGAAACAATGGCAGAAAAAAAAATTGGAAGCTTAATTTTTGAGGAAAAATTAAATTTAAGAATCTCAATTTGACATTAGCTTTGTTTTCCCATACCAAAATCTTTTTGAATGTGTTTTATATTAAATAAAATAATTTATTTGGAATACTTAGCCTATATTGGGCTACACAATGACGCAGTGGTTAGCACTCACAGCTTGAAGGTCGCTGGTTCAAGTCCCAGGGTCAGTTGGCATTTCTGTCGGATTGCATGGGCTCCCCCCATATTTGTGTGGGTTTCCTCTGATTTCTCCCACAGTCAAAAGACATGCGGTATATGTAAATTGAATAAACTAAATTAGCTGTGTATTTGTGCATGTGAGAGTGTATGGTTGTTTTTTAGTACTGGGTTGCAGCTGGAAAGGCATCAGTTGTGTAAAACATATACTGGATAAGTTTGTGGTTCATTCCGCTGTGACGACTCCTGAAGAATAAAAGGATAAGCGGAGAGAAAATGAATGCATGAATGAATGATTTTGACAATTTATGTAGTGTAAGTGTTAGCATTACCATTGTTTGACAGTATTTTTAATCAAACATTTTATTTGGAAAATTAATTTGATTTTAAGAATCAACATTTCACAATTATTTGCAGTTTTACTGAAATCTTTATGGAACATGTTTTAATACAAATCAAACAATTGGTTATAAGTATCACTGACAAATTAGTTGAACTGATTTTTAGTGAACATTTTACAAAATAAAACAAGCAATGAAGACTTCAGATGCTAAATCTTTAAGTGCTGTCTCAAATTTTCCGCTAAAATAAGCATTTTTTTTCAGCCTCCCATGTTTATGTTTAGTTATTTCACTTTAAAGGCAATGAAAAAACGTATCCATCACTGTAAAAGTAAAATCATTAAGCTGACACACAGGAGTCTGAGAAAAATGCAAAAATTTCAAATGCCATTAAGAGTTTTTTGCATCTAAATTCTTTAAATATGGTTTTAATGTTCAAACCTTCAAAATAATTTGATCATTTACACTGCAACAGTTCACTGTGTAAAACAAAAATCACAAAATAAATTTGGAACAAATCGTAAAACATCAAATTGACCTGAAACAATGCCAGAAAAAAGTTAAGCTTAGATTTGAAGTAAAAAAGAATTTAAAAACCTTCATTTAACCTTTATTTAGCTTATTTTTTTCCAAAGCAAAATCTCTTTGAATGTATTTAATATTAAATAAAATAATTTATTTGAAAAATTTATATTGGGTGACAGTTGCTCAGTGGTTAGCAAACAGGTTGCTGGTTCGAGCCTCGACTGGGTCACTTGGAATTTCTGTCTATTTGCATGTTCTCCCCATGTTGGTGTGGGTTTCCTGGTGCTCCCATTTCCCGCACAAGTCCAAAGACATGTGGTACAGGTGAATTATATTCTAAATTGGCCATATGTGGGTGATTGAGTATGTATGGATGTTTCCCAGTACTGGGTTGCAACTGAATAGGCATCCGCTGTGTAAAACATGCTGGATTCATTCTGCTGTTGCAACCCCTGATCACTAAAGGGACTAAGCCAAAGGAGAATGAATAAATGAATGAATAATTGTATTGTTTAAGAATAATTTTGTCACTAATATTTGACATAATTTATTTTTGAACGTTTTACAATAACAGAGCACTTTATATGGAATATACAGGTTTATTTGGCCAATTACTAATTTTTGGCAGTTTTTAAATATTAAAAGTAATTGTATGGGTAATTTATATTGTTTTATAAATCGTGATTTCACTACAAATTACAAATTATTTATTAATATTTTTACATTTCATAATTTATTTTGCCAACTTGTGTTTTTCATGATTTTTTTTTAATTTATGTATTTTTAAGAATCAAAATTTAACAATTATTTGACAATTTTACTTTTTTGAAACATGTCCTACTACAATCAAACATTAAAAAATATCTGTGGTTATAAGCATCCATTAAAGGTGCAGTATATAAGGTTGACACCTAGTGGTTGAAGTAGGTATTGCAATCAAAATAAACGCAGGCACGGGTTGCCAGATAGTAGACCAAGGAGCAGCTATGACGATCAACCCTAAAGGTTGATTTAAAGCGTGTTCTATATAAAAGCATTGGCACACGATAGGAGGAATATTTTCATTTTAAAAGGAGTTTTTGTTCTAACCAACACCTCAAATTGATATATTAGAAACGATTTCTATTTTTTTGCAGCTCAACAACAGAAAAATGACAATGATTACCTCAGGCAAACCTCATATGCTATATTCAGTGTTAAATGCAAAAAATGCGAGTTTGAATGCCATTTTACCTGACATTTATTGCAGATAGTTCACCTCAGATCTTGAAAATAAAATAAACTGTTTGAAATTGAATGTTAGAACTGTGTAATAATACAAACAACACATATCAGTGAATCAGCATCTACATTTAATAATGTTAAAGAGGTTTAATATGTATTAATTAGATTATAAAGCTTACCATTTCCTGAGGGAGTGCATATTCTGTCCTTCTGAATGGCTGCATTTAAATTTCTGTCGTGTTTCGTTTGGAGCAAACAGCCAAATTGCTTATTGCTGCAAATCTCATCATATAGCACGTTGTTAAGACACGGGATTACAATGTAACCTGCTCAGCTAATGTTTATGCTCGTAATATTTATATTATTTGCTAATTAATAACCTCATGTGGAATTTTGAATCTGTCACGTTTCGTAAGCTGTAACTGTCCACCGGAGGTCGCATTTTGGTCATGGCGTATGGTTAAATAAATCATATATGCTGTTTTCCCAGCAAGGCAAACCGGAGTGCTGAAATAAGTGGCACTAGGCAGGTTAAAATAACCAAAACAAAGACAGTGTTCTGGCACGTCACGCACATGTTCAAAGCAGATTATCTGACTAACCCTTGTATGGTGTTCAGGTCTGTGGGACCCGTTTTCAGTTTTTTTAAAAAGAAAAATTAAACAATGAATTATTTTTTCAACCTGAAATTCAATGGCTTAGGCTTATTTTCTTTAAAGAACATAAATCCTAACAAATTTTCAATGACCGCATAATGTACCTCCCCCCACACATTCACGTTACATAAAGGTGTTCGGGTCCATTAGACCCAGGTAAAAATAAAAGTCTTGAAAGTGCTTCTGACGATGATGTCCATGAACATGGTGGGAACAATATGAAAAATCAAATCTGTGGGTTTTATTTTTTTCATAACATTAATAATAATAAAAAAAGAGAAGCGTATTAATTCATCAATATGATCTAACAAAGGTAAAGGGGAAAAATTAACCATGTTTGCTGTGCATATGGCTTGTAATTGGGACTAAGTAAACATTTGTTGAGTAATTTAATGTAAAATTGTTTGATAGTGTTAATTTGAAAAGCCAAAACTCTAGCGGGTCCACCAGACCCATGAACACTGGCTGAGTAACCAAAATACGAACACCACAAAAGGGTTAAACATCTGCAAACATATTTTGGTGTTTTCATACTTTAGAAGAGTCAAACTTAACAGCACCCTAAAACTGAATTCTTTCTGAGCATTTTACATAATAAAACAATGTTCAAAATGTTAAAAGCTTCAAAAATAAAAAAATATATATCAAGCCATTAAAACAGTAACAGCACATAAACTGTGTTTGGTAATCAAATTTATTGAGTGTGCAACTGAAACCCGACACACAGATAACCGTAATCAAAACAACCTCAAACACAACAGTGAACAGTGCAACTACTGAGACAAAGGTGACCGTGATTAGTTTGTTTGCAGGACGAGGCTCAGGCTTCAATTCAAGGCTCAGAACTGCAGGACGGCTCGGATACTGTTGAAGACACATAATAAAAGTTTGCTTTTAGATATTGATGCTAAAATGGGGATCGAATTGATGTTTTACCAAAAAGCAGTAAATAAATACAAGCATCTTATAAGGCGTTTGTTTACCTCTTCCCAGCATGCATCAGGTCAAAGGCCTCATTGATCTGGGCAAAGGGCAAAGTGTGAGTGACAAACTCATCAACCATCAGCTTCTTGTTCATGTAGTCGTTCACCAGCTTTGGGACGCTCTCCACACTCTTCCAGCCTGAAAGACACAGAGAAAAGTTACTGATGTTAAAGAAGCATACTTCCCAAAGCATCATATACATATGCTATATATCAGGGGTTCTCAACTGGTTTGGCCATGGGACCCACATTTTTACATGGTCATCAAAATTTTTAACAACTATAATATAATTAAAGACTTACAAATAAACAATATTTTATTGCTGTCATTTAACAAAATGTATCAAATTATAGAAATATTACAAAATAAAAACGAGAAATACTGTAAACAGTGGTTAGGGTAAGGAAAGGTTCAGTTACCATAAACCAAACTGAACTGTTAATAAAACATGGTTTCTGGTTTCTAAATGTAGTTTTAATTTAGAAGGTTTCCGGCTCTCTTGTGAGAGCACCTCACTACATATGACTCTGAGGCTTTAGGTCTTTTTTGCCGTCAATATATGTAAATCCACACTTTACATATTCAGGGTCGTTCTAGCGCTTCGACATATTTGTTGCTATAATTAAATGAAATTTCACATGTCAAACAGTATAGTTGTCGTGCACGCATTTCAAAATAAAAGTCAAAATAAGTTAAAAGTTTAACTTTTGTTGATTTTTTTGACCACGCACCGCGACCCACTGAAAATGTTCCCACAATTCACCAGTTGAGAAACACTGCTGTATATGTTATAGATATAATATTAATAATAATAATAATAATAATAGAACAAGATAAACAAAAAGTAACAAAAAAGTGTTACAAAATGATGCTGATAAAAAAGCAATAAAATTATTAACAAAGTCATTACATTATAATAAAAAATACATTTTCTTAAAAATTAAATGATTTATGAATAATAATAGCACCAAGTAATATATATATATATATATACACATATACATATATATATATATATAAATGATGAATGTAACATTGTAAATTATTAAAGTGTGTAACCAAATGTAAATAAAATTTATTTTACAATATACAGAATCAAAATCAAACATAAAACAAGTAACAAAATCTAAAAATATAATGAATATAATTTAAAATAGAATCATACATATAGTCATACATTTTATTGTTATTTTGATCAAATTGTAATTAAAGTATTTATATAATTTCTTAAAATATTAATAAAAAGGATTCATAAAGTTTAAAATCTATTGTAAAACTGCTTTAGCGTTTATTAAGAAGAGAATAAAATTTCATTAAGCACAAAAGTAAATTTTAAATGCATAACAATTTCCATTCTAAAACCATACCACCAAAAGCGGTGCCTTTCCATGTGCGGCCGGTGACCAGCTGGAACGGCCGGGTGGAGATTTCTTGTCCTGCTCCTGCTACACCAATGATCACACTGGTTCCCCAGCCTTTATGACAAGCCTCGAGAGCAGCTCTCTGAATTAAAATAATAATAATAAAATAAAATAAAAAAACACTGTCAAAAATATGATATTAGAGCCATGGCTGTGGTGAGTCGGCAAAATGTCTAAAATGAAACTATTTTTCTCATCAGAAAACAACAAACGCATATCCCAAGCGAAACATTGTGTTAGACTTTAGCAAATACAAATGTGACACTGATAATTACTTTTGTGATAATGGCAAGACCTGAAGGCGCTCAACTGAACAAAAATATGAAGAAAACGCCTTCATCGCATAGAAACAACAAAAAATGTGTAAAATTTTGTATTATTATTATTTTTTTAACTCAAATTTGAAAGTGTACCTTCTGTGTGGTGGTCTAGGGTGCTGTATTTAATTGGTTCCTGCACATGTCTGTAGTCATAGGAAAAAAGAAAAATGTCTCTACCATAATCTATGCAAAAGTTATTGTATTCCAACAGATGAGAAGTGCTAGAAAAACCACAGGGACCAATTATTGTTTTCATATTTCACTATTCTTTTGTTTGATCAAACATAATTCACTGTGTTTGGACCACGTCAGACATATAAAAGGACTACTTATGCACATCACCTCAAGAACAGAGGAGAAATGGCCCTAAAGCGCACAGCATGAGGTAAGAGATGACAGCTGTCTTTGCTATCTGGGGCTGCTTATTGATCATGAATGTATTGTTTTCACTTCTGCGCCATGGAAACACAGAGATTCATTCGACAACTGTTTGATTTGTGGATATAATTCAGTAAAAAAAATGCTAGAACCGTATAAGCATTTGCAAGAGTTTTCATTTGAGCTATAACTGGTACATGTGTCATATATGAACCATATGAAAATGAACCAAATGTTCAAAACCCAGCTCGGGTATCCAAAATACTGAGTATTTAAGAGTAAATAACTTTTGTACAGTAGGATAAAAACCAAAGTGATGCATATGTGCATAAAATATAGATTCTACACTTTTAAATGAAACCACTTAAAGGGGTCTGCTGCAATGCTAGCCCTTTAAATCTTAAAGCGAAAGTTGATGACATCACGCAGAGTTTAACTGGTTAAATGTTTAGAAATGGTTAAATACATGAGCAAATAATTAAACATAGCACTGCTGCGCCCCCACGCGATAATATTGTGTATCGGCGATCTCACAGGGGGACGATATGGCGATCTAAAAACTTTGTATACCACACAACACTAGTCTCTAAGATCAGAGAAGTGTATTTGAGTTTAAGTGTATGTGTTATCCTTGAAGTATAATAATAATAATAATAATAATAATAATAATAATCAGGATGATCCAATGCCATGTACAACAGAATTCCAATCGATGTGTTTTTGGATCCTCTTTTTATGAAGTGTGATTATTAAAGAAAATAGATGAATTTTTATCATTAGAGGCTGGCTATATTCTCTAACTGTAGCCTCAAAAAGGTATTTAAACCCCTATAAAAGTATTTCTTGCCTATTAGGTCCCCTTAAAATCACTGCATGTCTTATTATGAGTTACAAAGGCAGCAAATATTTGGATGAAAATATTGATTTGTACAACTGAGCAGAGATCTGCAGTTCAGGAGCACACAGCTGGGTGTCTGAATCAGTCGGCTTTCGTTGATCCCAAACTAAACGGCTGGTGTTTCTGCAGCTCACCATAATGCCAACATTGCCGATGCATTCGAAGGAATAGTCAACTCCTCCATCTGTCAGCTCCACCAGCACCTCCTGAATAGGCTTGCTGTGGTCCTTGGGGTTCACGAACTCGGTGGCTCCGAACTTCTTGGCGATTTCAAACTTGTCCGGGTTGACGTCGATGCCGATGATCCTGGTGGCGCCAGCAGACTTGCAGCCCATTACGACAGCAAGACCCACGGCTCCCAGACCAAACACGGCACACGTAGAGCCCGCTTCAACCTGCAGGGACAATAGGAGCCTACTGAGCACATTGTGAGGTAGTGGAATATACTACTTATTGTTAGACGATGCAAAAATCAGGGTTTCTGCACCTGTCAGTTTGGAGATTTTCACAAAGATTTTATTTTATTTTTTTCATTTTCATTGAATTCAAACTAAGTTTATTTGCATAGCACTTTTCACAAAAAATAATAAGATAAATAAAGCATTGCCCAGAGATGGGTTGCGGCTGGAAGGGCATCCGCTGCGTAAAAACTTGCTGGATAAGTTGGCGGTTCATTCCGCTGTGGCGACCCCGGATTAATAAATGGACTAAGCCGACAAGAAAATTAATGAATAAATAAATAAAGTAGCTTTACAAAAGTGCACATTATTGCATCAAAATCAGAAAAGTTAAGGTATTAGTTTCCATAAATTTATTAGTTACTAATAATTTCAACCAATAAGTTATCTATTTAAGAAAACATCCAACCTACACATTTAAGCATTTCATGTTTTACAGAGAGGTGTTTTCTGGATTCTATACAACATTAAACTCCATGAGAAAATTGCGCATTTATGTACCGGTCAAATGTTTGGGGTCAGTTGGATTTTAAAATGTTTTAAAATAAGCTTATCCTGCTTACCAAGGCTGCATTTATTTCATTAAAAACGGTAATAGTAATTAAAGCAATAATGACTGGACGAATAATTTCATTTTAAACTGTATAAAATAAGAAAGCAATTATTTAACAATTTAATAAATTGTTAAATTAAATCTTTTACATTTAATGGCTTTTAAAATATTTAAAACTGCTTTTATTCTAGCCCAAATAAAACAAATAAGACTTTCTACAGAAGAAAAAATATTATCAGACATACTGTGCAACTGTACCTTGATCAGTTAAACATTATTTGGCAAATATAAAAAAAAAGGAACAAAAAAAAAATAAAAATAATAATTCTGACTTCAACTGTGTGTTTGTGTGTGTTTGTGTGTGTGTGTGTGTGTGTGTGTATGTGTGTATATATATATATATATATATATATATATATATATATATATATATATATAAAATTTTATTTATTTAAATTTTTTTCTGGAAAGCAGTATTATTCTGAATTGTGAAGTGATAAGAGATTCCAGAATCCCCTAAATAAAAACTTTTCGATTTGAATGTGTCAGAAAATATCGACTTTTTAAAGGAGATTTCCTTTTTTGTGCCATAAATGTCTTTATTTTTTTTTTTTGCAAGAAATGTATGCACACATTTATTAAAACTTTGTGTGTATGTATTTAGTGCACCCCTCATAAATCTATTTTTAAAAAATGCAGTTTACTTTACAAAAAAAATATTTGTGCAAATAAATAATGGGAAAAATATTTATTTATTTATTTTTTATTTATTTATTTATTTTCTATCAAAAATATTATACATAATATATCATTAACAAAAAATACATTTCAACATGGTCAAAAATGGAGTGGGATGAAGCACAAGCTCATTTTAAAGCGAAACAAAAATATATACAATTTAATTAATTTTGTAGTTTGTAATTGGTTCTTGCAAAACTTTGCAAGAAATTAGATGCATTATTGTTTCATTTCTAAGGACGTTCGGTGACTAAAATATAGTTTGAAAAAAATATCTGTTTAATAAATCTGTTTTGTTTATATACACCAAAATACATAACCTATATTTACTGAGAAATAGACACAAATGTTAAATTTTCAAAATGGATAGTACTTATTTATGCTAAACACTAAAAAACATTTAAGTAAAACAAAAAATAAAAACATATATTATTAATACAATCAATCAACTGGTGAAGTATGCTGATAATCATTTGGAGATGAATATGCATTGTCATTCAGTCTGAATATATCTATTTTTCTGTATAGGTCGGCTATTATGCAGCATCATTTATGTAGCAAGTCAAATCATTATGCTTTTACTTTAAAAAATGTAATAAGAGAAAAAAAAATGATGTTATAATTAACCATCAAGTATTTTTTTACCCTATTCACCGGCAGTGTCTTATTAAATTGAATTAGACCTTAGCAGTATTGATGGCAGCTCCATATCCAGTGGAGATGCCGCAGCCCAGCAGACACACTTTATCCAGAGGAGCGTGTTCATCTACTTTGGCCAGAGAGATCTCAGCCACCACGGTGTACTCGGAGAAGGTGCTGGTGCCCATGAAGTGGAAGAGCTGCTTCCCTTTACAGGTGAACCTGGAGGTGTTATCGGGCATCAGACCCTGGCCCTGGGTCACTCTGAAAAATAAATGAATAAATAACAGCACAACTGAGTGTCTGCAACTACAGTCATGTCCATAAATATTGGGACAACAACACAATCTTAACAGTTTTGGCTCTATACACCAACACAATGGATTTACGATTAAATGAACAAGATGTCCTTTAACTGCAAACTGGCAGCTTCAATCTGAGGGCATTTACATCCAAATAAGGTGAACGCTGTAGGAATTACAACACTTTGCATATGTGCCTCCCACTTGTTAAGGGACCAAAAGTAATGGGACAATTGGCTCTGCACAAGATGTTTGGCCATCGAAGAAAAGGTCTTGCCCAATTGAGCCTGCTTTCTCTTAAGGTTTTTTTCTTTACTTTCGCCAATAGGTAAAGTTCTTTCCTCGCCGCTGTCACCACTGGCTTGCATGGTTCGGGTCCTGTAGTGCTGCGCATGGATGGATTTGCTCTTCAGTGTTTGGACTCTCAGTAGTGACTATTAAATCAATCAAGCCTTTATTTGTCACTACACTTTCGTATAGCTAAATTGGACCCCCCAGACCATACACAAAACATCACATTTTTCAGGGGAGACAGATCATAGGAGGTAGCATTTAGAAACGAAGAAAGATACATTTGGACAGTTAGGCAAAAAAAAAACACCCCCTTAGCTTGTCCTTGATTAGGACAAAGTGAGAAAAGGGAGAAAAACAGCCCTATCTTAGCATAAGCACACCGGCAAGACACAACATAGACACAGTGGATGGGAACAGGGGTAATGGAAAACAGTCCGTTGAGTGCGGGCAGCCAACCGGTCCAGCAGCCATTTCAAGGCGCAAGTCACAGCCCCGCCAACGCCCCACGTGGGTAAAAGCACACGAAGGCGTTTGGATGGGGATTAAACCACACTGAACTGAGCTAAACTGCTCTGAACTTAAACTCTGAAAACTGGACTGACACTGTTTCAATTCACCAAAATCTTCTATGTGAAGCTGCTTCGGCACAATCTACATTGTTAAAGTGCTGAACAAATAAAGATAAATTGAATAATTCATAATTACCTGATTTTCTGGCACAGGTTGGTTTTTGGATTTTTACAGAACTTGCACTCGCCGCATTGAGGCACATACAGTGGAATAACAGTATCACCTTCATAAAAATAAAGAAAAATAAAGTGAGCTTTAGGATTTTAAAATACCACAAACATCACTCTGTTCACCATGTCTTTTCATTGCTAATTTTCACTGTTTGCAATCTGTTAGCAAACCTGTCTCTGTGTTATTCGAGTCAGGGTAAATAGTCTATTTTGACGTGCCTGGTTTGAATTTGGTGACCCCTTCACCAACACTCTCAACAGTGCCTGCCCCCTCATGACCCAGGATGACAGGAAACAAGCCCTCGGGGTCACTTCCACTGAGAGTGTACGCATCAGTGTGACACACACCTGTAGCATGGATCTGAAACACACAAACACGTTCAAGATTTCCGACTACATTACACACTTTGAATACATTGCTCTCTATACATGTTTTTATTGCTTTATTATTTTAATATAGCACACAGATATTCTGCATAACGGTGCTTAAAACGAGAAAGGCTGCACCTGTACAGTGTAAAGCTGACGCAAAACATGGTCCCTTGACAGGTTGCAGCTGCAAACCTGATCTTGTATCCCTCCTAATGCTCATTGACCAGGTGGGAACCTTGGGCTCATCTATCTCTGAGCTCAGGGTTCTCTACCGGGACAGCATGCCAAACCTGCTATCGTAGTTGAGCATTATCTAAGTGTGAACTCTTGAAAACAACATTAGCACTATTTGACTGTGAATAATGTTGTACTGTCATTGGCTGCTAATAATAATCACTAATACTATTTAGAATTTGCAAATACTTTTAACGAAATTATATTATTAAAGGGCCATGAAACCCCCTCGTTTCAGCAGGGTGTTTTCACACCTCTACTTTGGAAAAAGTCAGAAAAGTGGGCGTGTCCAGCTTTGTTTAGGGGGACGTGTCGGAGGAAGAAAAGTGGGATGGTGTAGGAGTGTCTATTTGGGCACGCGCGAGTTTCAGAGTCAAAATAAACACACAAACACACAGGAGAAAGTGATGGTGTTTAACCTACATGGACATCTGTAGTCGAATTATTTGCCAAATTATTAAATGGTGGACTTTAACTGCAGTTTGGCTCTTTCATTCAGGGAATTCATTCATGTCCCTCGTGACAAACGAGATATTTGATTTGAGGAACTGCTCTAAGCGTGTATTTTTCATGCAATGTTTGATACCGCACGGCGAATGAGAGAAAAAAAACCCTCCGCATTTCCCGGAAACTTAGATGCACACGGCAGGTAGCGTCCATTCCTGTCACTAAATGCGGTGAAAACCCTACACGAGGTTAAAGTTTGGTTGTGGTGCTAACATGTTTACACTCGGTGCAATAGTTTGTTCGATACGAACAAACTGAATAAACAAAGAGCGCTGGTTGCTCGCTTACCAAATCTGTAGAGACAGGACAATCACCAGCAACTAGAGCCGCGTCTTTATGAAAGGAAGTCTACAAGCGAATCCGGATCTCAGCGTTTGCAGATGAGAACAGCTCTCAGGTAAACAATAGCCGCATTTCCACTATCAGGCCAGTGCGAGCCAGGGCTTATATCGGCCAGGCCGGGCCAATCGCCCGGGAGGTTGAGCAGTGAGGCCGAAATCATGTCGCGTTTCCACTGTGGGGCTAGTAGCTCGCAGCGCGTCACGCAAACCCCGCCCCCAGAACATCCCCCGAATCGAACGTCACTCAAACCGCCCACTTCAGCGAGATTCATGCAGATAAAGCACACCATCACATCATCACGAAACTATTAAAATTAGGACAACCAAAACAAACAAATGACACGTTACTGTACAGCAGTACAACGCATGTCTATACGCACATGCCTGTGTGTTTTCATTCATCATATTCATTTACTCGCCGACCGACTGGCATCGAAATCCAGTGGTCTTGCCACCAACGGAGGGACCCGGAGCGCAGGGAGCGCACACATCCATAATATAACACCACATATATATAATTCTCCGTTAATAACTCGATATAAAATGTTTTTTATAACATCCTCTAGACAGAATCTGTCCAACATTCATCCCAAATGCTCCGGAGAGAACTGAAACATGATTATTTTCCCCCTATAGGCTTTATGACACTTAGTAGGTGATTCCCTTTATTTAAAGATGTTGCTTATTATATCTTAAGTAAAGGAAAGTGTTCAGTGTTTCAGCACATAAGAGCAGCACGTAATAAAATATAGCCTATATTTCGTTGCGCTCTGCAGCTATGCACTAATAAAGCTCTTTATGTATTTAAAATGTCCTTTTTTAATTTTACCACGTCATATAAAAACATACACACTTGTTTGAGGACACAGAGCACATTTTGAACTTGCAGTTTTCCCCGTCAAAAAAGTGCTGCGCGTCTGCAGTCAGAAAAAAAGGTCGCCTAGTTTCTGCTTTCACTCACCCCGAAAATGCTCTGTTTGCATGATTTGATTAATTTCATTGTATCCAAATACTTTATAAATAATATTTAAAACATTTTCCGGTGTTTATTTATTTTTATTTTTTTAGAAAATATCTAAAATCTTTTTTTCAAAGAGGCTTTTGAAAAATGAAAGTTTAATATAAATTTGAAACAGTTTGATATAGTACCTAATTGTTATAGCTATAGCTTTTGTTAGTTTTATATTGGTTTATTTATTTAATGTGAATTTTTTATAGGCCTATCTAATATTTGTAATTCTTTAAATTATTTCAATATAGGGCTATTTTATCTAGATATGACACTATTGTTTTGAGCCTACAAAAGTGGACATGAAATTTGTAAACTTTAATGTCCTACTGTTGTATTCATATTATCTCCAAAATAAATTAAAACAATAAAAATAAAAGAAAAAAGCCGCTCGCGGCATCAACAGAGCTATGAATGGAGCGCTCTTTTCCTCTGTCTCACACACATACACAGGCATCTAAACGCACAAAAACACACACAGTATTAAACTTGACAAAACCTCTTGAAAACCTTTACTGTCTGCTGTGTCTTTAATATGGTGTAAAGATTATTATGCGTTATTGAAACATCAAAGATGCAGCAAAGAAAGATCATTTTATGCAACAGCCTTACATTTAAAAGAGAAACTTAAGGGCGATCATATGCAAAAAAGACCCCAGCCTATAATTTGTTCCAGATGTTTTCTTTCCCTTATTTATTTATTTGTTTGGCGCATGTACTCGAGTGCGATCGGAAAACTGTGCCCGCCTCTCCTTTCACTCCGCCCCGAAGCCCCGGCTGGCCTTCCTTGGCCCAAGGTATTCGGCGGGCCGAAAAAGGCTGGCCGTTGGCCCCGAGAAAGCCCCGCTTTGGCCCGATTAGGCCCCGGAAGTGACAGTGGAAACGCCACTGGCCTTGGCTCGCCCTGGCTCGCTCGCTTTAGGCGCGATAGTGGAAACGCGGCTAATGTTCCTCCTTAGACACATAAGTTATTGTTAAGCGTCGCGTACACTGTTAATCCACACGTGAGTCTGAGCTCTCACAGAGAGAAAATGAAAACGAAACTTAACTGCAGCAAACTATAAAAGCAACACTTCACGCTTGTTTTGCCAACACAACGTGGTGTGTCTGTCGTCTAAGCACTGTGACAGTAATGAATATTAATGAAGTTGCACAATAGAGCGCACTGATTGGTTTGAACCAAGTCTTACTCATGCATTAATGCAAAAATTTGTTTCAAACCGGAAGTACGAATTTGCTTGAAATAACGCAAAAACAACCAATTTACACTTTTTAGTGAAATATAGGTGTCCTAATAGTGTTTTTAGCAGTGTGGGACACATATACGACTGTCAACAGCTCAAAAAATGTGTTTTGGTGTTTCGTGACCCTTTAAGGAGAAAGTCAGAATGTGGGAATATAAAACCAACTTTACCTCAATTCTAACTACCCCCTGTGAATGAAATGAAGTGAAAACCCCTAATGTCCCCCTGAGAAACAATTACCATCCTGGTAGGACTAAAGTTATGACAGCATTTGACCTAAAACCATCAATGTGGCCCACAGTTTCAGCTACAAATCATCTTTTATGTCCTACTGAGGGGCTGCATGGTGTTCGTAGTGTATGTGTGTAAATAAGTTTGTATGGATGTTTCCCAGTGATGGGTTGCAGCTGGAAGGGCATTCACGGTGTAAAACATATGCTGGATAAGTTGGTTGTTCATTCCGCTGTTGTAACCCTATAATAATGGGACTAAGCCGAAAAGAAAATGAATGAATTAATGTCCTACTGAACAAGAGGAAAAAGTCGCCTACATCTTAGATGGGGTGAAGTTGAGTCAGCTGAAGGAATGCTTACATTATTGTGTGATTGTTAATTAACAACTGTAGTCTTCGCACTACAAATGATGTATTGCTTTTGTCGAGAGGTACAATGTTCAGATTAATAGTTTACCTTCACTCGAACTTCATGGGCTTTCGGTGGAGCAACCTCCACCTCCTCAATGGAAAGAGGCTTACCAGCTTCCCAGGCCACTGCTGCCTTACATTTGATCACCTGAAAATTAATTTAGAAGCTTTTTAGTTAACAAACACTTATAAGAGATGCTGTAGTAACAATTTTTAACATAAAACGAAGGTTATGTAAGCCAGTGCTCTAATACAGTACACTTAAATACACACTGTAGTTTCTTGTGGTTTATGTATTGCAAAATATGTCCAGCATATGGCGAATCTGTATTTGCATGCGATAAGAAATCGGTGCTGACGGTGAAAGGTTGTTGAATGCAACAATGAAGAGATCAGACGAACATGTTTCTGATCGTTTATGCATGCACAAGATCACACAGCTGAATACTGAAAACAAGGGCAACTGGAAACAGGTCAAAGCAGCACAAAAGATCTCTTCATACTCGGATTTGCACTTGGACTTGCAGTCCTGTCATGAACAAGGACTGCTACACACTCTGCTATTCTGCTATATTTTTTGATTGAACTGCGTTTGGTGCTCGAGTTTTTACACAAATATTGCAAAATTATGCACATTACAAACGAGCAGATGTACTCTTTTGATATTAATTCAGAGGGTGAAGGCAAATTTCGCTGCCGACTTACTTTCCCAGTTGTGTCCATGCTTTTTCTTTCAGCGCGAGAGGAAGAGAAGGAGGGGCGTGGCAAACTGAAGAACTCTTTCTTCGGCCAATGAGAGACGAGGACGTGCCTACGCTTGAACAAAGTACGTTGTTTTTCTAATCGAGGGCAGTTCGTTTGCGTCTCATTGGTTTGTTGGTAAACGATTTATAGGACGATAAATTAAAAAGCGAGCATTTTTCCCTTCTCCAACTAGAAATAGCTTGCCAAACCATTTCTAATACTTGTATTCTGTATATTATTATTTATATTATTTTATTATTTATATGGATTTCATTTAATGATTTGATATAGGCTTGTATGTATATATCCAAAATGACGAGCAAATGAATATTCAAAGTAAGAAAATAAACAAAATGTTAAAAGTAACGTACATAAGTTTAAATTTCTATTGAGGCCACTGCAGTATTTACATACAGAATTCAAGTTTTAGATAAATACCTTTCATCAAAGTTGTCCTAATGAACATCACCCATTTTTATCTTAGGACTATTTTGAAAAGCTGTTTTGATCCACGTCAAATGTTGACTACTATATTAAGAAGCCTTTGTTATTTTTATTTTTAAACGCAACAGTAAACAGCTTCTTGAAGGATCTAGCAAACTATATTTTTAAAATGACAAAACTTAGTTATTCTACTTTTATTTTTTAATATGAAAACAAATCCAGGAGGAATCTTTAATATTGTTAATCTCTGTATTTTATTGGCAAAATTTTACATGCACAACAGCAATATGCTTTCATCTCCCACATTAACCATTTTTGTATCGATTTTGGTTTATTTCTACTGTAAAATTGTTGAAAAGTATCAATTATTATAATAGTTTTTTCAATTTTCCCTGTTAATTCTTAAAATCATTGGATGTAGAAATGCTGTACATTATGCTTTGTGATTTTTTTTTTTACCATTGTTATATTAGTTTGTTAACCTTTTAAACTGTGTATGCATGTATGTTCCTGATGGTTTGTGCAATATATATATATATATATATATATAGAGAGAGAGAGAGAGAGAGAGAGAGAGAGAATGCAATGTACTCTGATCTATTTTATTCATTTGTATGAATCAATAAAAAAATGTCAATGTCAAAAAATGAACGACTAACATGTGACACATTGAATAATAATATATTATTTATGTTGTATTTAATATTTGCCAGTATCATGCCAATAAAGCAATTATTGCATTGAGAGAGGGATTTTTTTAAATACTTAAATAACTTGTTTATTATGACAACAGATATGCATATATAACGATATATGCATGCGTGTTCATTATTACTTAAATTCTTGTATATGTTTTGTATTTTATTTATTGTTACTGCTTTGGCATCATTGTGCTTGGTTTCAGTCATGCCAATAAAACTCTTTGAATACGAGAGTGAGTTTAATAGTGGGGTCAGACTGTTTTTTGGGGTGAAAGTCAAATGCTAAATAAAAGCATCAGTGTTAGAAGACAAGTCTTTTTTAGATACATTTAAATTAAGATCTATAACCATCATCATCTACATAGATTGCTTTATAGTTATTGGTAAACATTTTCAGGCAATTACATTTATGCTAAACCATTAAAATGCATTTTCTTGTGGGGAAAAAGTAACAATCACATTATAATTATTAGGACATTTCAACAAACTACAAGCGGCCATTCCCTTTTATCAAAAGCTTGAATAACTACAGATGCAGTGGGCAAGTGTATTAATGACCACAAATAAATAGCCACCAAAATGTGATTCTGTAATGCCTGAAATGGTCAAAATTCTTACAGTAGTTCAAACAACCCTCTTTAATCTATTAGGAGGATCTTCAAAATTGTATAAAATGTTATTTTTAACTGAATTCCATGGCTGTTTCCACAAGAAAAATTCAAGAGAATTTCCCAATCCTGTCTGGTTGTACACTGAAAGATCTGGAAAATCCATGATTAAACACTTCGTCCAGCTGCTGATAACACACACACTGCTGTTCAGAAAGAAACAGTCCCTGTTAATTTTGCAGAAACAATAAATCTCTCTTATTAAGAAGATTTCAAAACCTAATCTCTTTAGCTTTGCTCAGAACAAATATCAAGACAGAATTAGTAAAAACCGAACCAAAGTGTTGTAAATAAACCACAGAATTTATTAAGTCCATGGTGGCAGCTGGAGTTCAACTGAAACACAATGGCAATCTTTTTTAAATGTAGACATCCATCATAAACCAAAAATTAAATGTTATTACACTGTAATCTGTGAAGATGGCTTCACATATCATAATCCTGGTGCTGTTCAAGTTACTACTTGTCCAACATCAAGTAATTGTAAAAACATAAGTTGATGCAAACCAACCAGCCAAGGTTGTGGAGACACCCGTCCTCTCGTACACAGACATGCGAACATTAGCCTAAAACATTAGCCCTATCAGTATACCAAATAAAACAAGAAGTCCACTGCTGAGAAAATACAAATATGGTACAAAATGAAGTAAAAAGTTCAGCTGTACAAGAGAGGAGTCAATTAGCAGTCTAAAGACTTTGGTTGGCCCCAAACGCTGCTGCTTCTGACTTCACAATGGAGGTCTTATCAGCCAATGAAAGGACAGATCCCATCCTGCGAGACATTCATCATCTTCCACCTGCAGAGCAACAGGAAATGTGTGTTAATAATGCAATGTTTACACGTTCATTGAAAATGGTAAAAAGCAGCTCAGATATATTACATTTATACTTCTTAAATGGATTGTTTACGCAAAAAATAAATTGTCACCAATCAAGAGGTTCTAAACTTTTGTATTTCAGATTAACACAAGATATTCCAAAACGCAGTCGCACGAGTGGTCTTTAATGAACCTACAAGAGCACGTGTCACTCCACTACTCATCCGTCTGCACTGGCTGCCAGTTGCTGCTCGCATCAAATTCAAAGCTCTGATGTTTGCTTACAAAGCGACTTCTGGCTTTGCTCCTTATATCTGCTCTCACTTCTGCAGATTTATGTGCCCTCCAGAAACTTGCATTCTGTCAATGAATGTCGCCTCGTGGTTCTATTCCAGAGAGGGAAGAAATCACTTTCCCGAACTCTTGCATTCTATCTGCCCAGTTGGTGGAATGAACTCCCTATCTGCATCAGAAGGGCAGTGTCACTCGCTTTCTTCAAGAAACGACTAAAAACTCAACTATTTAGTAGGGCTGCACGATATATCGATTCAGCATCGAAATCGCGATGTGCGCATCCACGATAGTCACATCGCAGGAGGGTGCGATGCAAAAAAAAAAAAAAAAAAAAAAAAAAAATTCTATATATATTATGGGTGGAGCCGAACCGGAATACGGTATTCGGAAAAGCAGGAATAGAGTGTTTTTACGAATACTTCTTTCAAACAATACTTGATAAATTATTTGTATTTGGGAACAAGAAAAACATTATATCAAAAAGCTGCGTTTCCTCATGAGACCGCAGTGCATGCCCGCGTGAGTGAGTGAGTTAGTGAGTGAGACGTTCAGGAGTCTGTGGGCGGGGTGGGGCCGGGGTAAGGAGACTGAGCAGGCTGCTTCTCTATACAGCAACAGAGAAGGCTTGGCAGAGCGAAAAATACTTTTCTGTAAGACTATTTTTGTTTATTTCATCATACTAAAATAACACCTGACAAAAGTTCACTCAAAAGTGAAAGTTCTTTCTGTTATTAATTACTAACACTCCCGTCATTCCTACTACTTTCAGAACATGAATTTTGATATTTTACCATATGAAAATTGAGAAATTAAAGCAATACAGAGATCTGGTCCCCGCGTCAGGTCAGGGTGCACCTGTAAACTTAAAAACGCAGACGCGGCGGAGGCGCACTAAACTCACACGGGAAAGAACTGGGCATTCAATTCATGTTTTCGTTAAATAATTCTTTAAATACAGCTTTTTATCTCTAAAGGGGAAAAAAGCAAAAGAAATTTGTCATTAAATTAATTTTAGCAAAGACGCAACTGCCTGTCATTTTCACATTCGTTTTTCAGTTGGGGATTTGGTCTATTAGAGTAACCTAATAAAATTGTTTTGTTGAACACTGTAGTCTACACAATAATCAATATTATAATTTATTATATACTTAACTATTATTAAAACTAAACTATACAATTGATAAAACAAAACCCTTTTTAATGTTTGCTTTCATTTTGACACCGCTAACAGTTGTAATAAGAAACATCACATTATGCAGAAGCATGCAGTCAAGTTAAAAACACCTTTGAGTTTAAAGATGATCAGTCTGCCAAGTCAAGTTTACAGTGTCATAAATGAAATGGGTAGCATGAGTAAAGAGGATTTGCCCAGCACACAACATCATGCGCTGCAGGTAGGCTGAATGATAATCTTTAAAAATATATAGGCTATGCAATACAAAACTTTAAACATTTATTTATTTTTTAATGAAAAGAAAAGAAATCAGGAGAGTAAAATATAATTTAAACCACTGGTCTGGCGCTGATACTTTATTGTTTGTATCCAGAAGAAGGGGAAAAAAGCAGATGAAAACCTGTCTGGGGAGACGGCGATAACATATCAGTTCTTCAGCAAAGATCACGACATCATTGTGATGCGTTTATCATACAACGCAGTTCGTGTTTATAATCATTAATATTAACTAGTATTAATTCTCTCTCTAGACTTAGTTTTAGGGCTTGTTCTAGTCGGCGCAATATAGCCTCGGCTTATTGCACGTACGAATCCGATTGTGAATAATGATTAAGCGCTTGCATTTTTTATTGCATCCTTTTCGCAAGTTATTCATTTGTTTTGTTTTTTAAGAGGTGCGAACATTATTTACTGGCAAACATGTTCCTCGATCTCATACATCAACAAATAATGTAGCCTACCTAAGTTAATTGACCTTTTATGTAAAAATTAAGGAATAACTTAATTAAATATTAATAAATAAAACATCCGTATAAACGTACATGTTTATTTTTGAACTTTCGTTAATAAAACAAGACAAAACTGTTTATAAATATTGTATT